GAACTGAGGACCTTGTCCTTGCCAGGCAGGCGCTGTGCCACTGAGCTATATTCCCGGCCCCTTCACACTGGTTTCTACTTCCCTTTGTTTTTTAGTTTTGGAGCTGTAACTGACCTCCTGCTTTGGAGGCTGGAGAGTCAGCTCGTTTACTCCCAGGTCCATTCCTCTCACACAAGCTGATGTTAAGATTACGGAAACAATGTCGAATACAGCTAAGCTGGTCTCTTTTGAACAACCTGTTGCCTTCCAAATAATCAGTACAGATCCAGCTAGACATCCTACAGCCACCTTGCTTGTAACCACCACTTTGTCCTCTAGATACCGATATATACCGCAAACCTACAGGACAAACTCAGTTGTTGAGACAGCTGAGACTGCTATGCTTGCCCAACATCAGGACGTGGGGACACAAGAAGGTACTGTTTTTGAGAAGGGCCAGTTACTTCCAGTTGGCTGTGGCCCACTATTATGGTTGATACATCGTGTCAACCTGGGGAGTCCAGAGGTCTGGCTGAGTGACTCAGCGGTTCTGCATCCTGGGGTGAAAAAGAAACGCTCTTCCTGCTCTAGGATGTTGTTCATTGTGTCAGTGTAAGAAGTTTAGAAGGTTAACTGTGTGATTCAGCAGGGAGCCAGGGTGCTAACTTTGTATTCATCCTGAGCCTGTGCAAGGGCATGGAGATTATGTGAGTGCTACACGCCCTCTGGGTGGGGGCAGCCTGCTTACAATATAAGGGAGGAAAGAGGCTTGCCTTCTCTGCCACTCTTCCCTTTTGCTCTTGTTGCTTTGCTGTTCCACCACCAGGAACTGTTGCCCACTGCCATGTGCCACTCTGCCTTGGAGCCAGCCAAGTATGGACTGAAACCTCCACAAACTGTAAGCTAAATAAACCTTTCCTTCCTTCATTTTGGGTGTTGGGTACTTTGTCTCAGCAACAAGAGAAAAGTAACCAAGACACCCACCTTTGTCTACCTGGCACATAAACCCCTTTCTCTTGTCTTGGGATGCAGGGTCTACCCATCTTGCTAGCACCCAAAACACTTCTGTTTGTCAGTGTTCATTAAATGGTACTTGAAGCAATCCTAGATCCTACATGTGTGGCACTTTTCTTGGTCTTATTATGGTAGCTTCCACCATTGGTGAATAATTCTCACTCACTGGGGTAAGTCTTTCCGAAACAGGTGCCTTTTGTATTTTTTTATTTTATTTTATTTTATTTTTTGGTTTTGGTTTTTCTCCGGTACCAGGAACCGAACTCACGACCTTGCGCTTGCCAGGCAGGCGCTTTTGCCGCTGAGCTAAATCCCCAGCCCCTAGGTGCCTTTTTAAAAACCTCCATTTGCTTAGTTTTCTATACTTGGCACTAACTCCAGCCTCAGCACTCTGCTAGCTGTCTCCCAGGTATCTTCCCAAAAGAGTTAAAGACATCGTATTACAGTGACACATGCATATCCATGTTTATAGCAGCACAGTTCATAAAATAGAACTTGGAAGCAATTCGTATGTCTATCAACAGATGAATGGATAAAGAAAATGTAGTATTTATACACAGTGGAGTACTACTATGCCATAAAAAATAAATGAGTCATTTGTATGAAAATGAATGCCTTGAGACCATAATGTTAAGTGAAATAAAGCAAACACACAAGCTTACCACCTGTATGGTTTCTCTTATATGAGAAACCCAAAATATAAATAAAGAGCAAGATAAAAATGATAATAGGAGGTAAGGAGATAGATATTTTTTCAAATGCAAAGGGGATCAAGAGATGGAGGGAGAGGGAACAGGAATAAAAAAAGAATTAAGATGTGTTATGTACAAACTCCCCATGAGGAATGTAATCATCATCATCATGTACTAATAAAAACTAAAAACTAAATATATATTCAGGAACAGCTGGTATCTACTGAGCTCCCTCTCTTGGAGACTGCACCTAGGGCCTCAGGCTCCACTTCAACGTGGTCTGGTGCCTCCACGCTTGGGGTGCCTTGGCCCCTTGCCCTCCGATAGCCAGTACTGTTTCCTGGAGGAGTGTCTCCCCTAGTCTTGTTTCCTTACTTCACTGAACCACACCCTCCAGGGGCTTCTGGAGAAAGGCTGTAGAAGAAGCCAAAAAAACTGGAGGTATGAAAGTGCCCTAATTCGACTGACTTTCTGGCTAGGTTTAGAGTGTTTTGTTCTTGTTTTAATGAGCAGGGTCTCTCTGTGTATGCCTGGCTGACCTCAAACTCATGATTCTCTTGCCCCAATCTCCCAAGTGCTGGGATTAATACACCCAGTGTATCCCACGGGATGGGCCACCACACCCAGTTAGTTACCCCCTCAGTGTTTTGAGGGACAGCTGTACAATTCTACCACTGCATAATCTAGACATTTTCATTCCTGACCCTTTACATAAAGCTTTTTTCCTTCTGGGAGCTTGTAGGATCTTTGTCTCTACTGTTCTGAAATTTTCAGCACTACTAATACACTCATTTCTTTCCATCGTGCGGTGCTCAACACACTCACCGGACATGCTACACTCACTAGAGGTCTATCTTCCCGCCTTGGTAAGCATTCTGTGAGCCATTTCAATGCAGAAACTCCTATCATCGGTTCTAGTTAATGTTTCTTTACTTTTTGGGGGAAGAGGCTTTATCTTCCTAAAACTCCTTTATTGTCTTAAATTGTTTCCTTAAATTGTTTTTTACTCTAGTTTTATTCTACTTTCTGTTTTCTCAACTTATCCTTCCAACATGAACTAATTTTTTTCATACTTTCATATTTCTGTCTCCAAGTTTTAATTTTATAAATGCAGTGTTTTACTTTCTGGATATATTATAGATATTTAGATGCTTTCTTCTCCCGGCATAAATTCTTTCCCCCAAGTTGACTCTTTGGTTCATCTTGGAGGCACTTTATAATGGCAGATTTGTTCCACTGGGTCATCGCATGCCTGCTTTCTTAGGAACTTTAATGTCACTGTCACTGTTTTTGCTGAAGCTGCTTAGATGCAGCTTAGGACACACACGGGCTTTCCAACCTCCAAGTTTTTATGGCTGTTATCTCCTTCCTACTTTCTTTGCCCTCATGATTTAAATTTTTTTAAAAGAAATCCTTCTGTTATTTCAGTATGGTTTCAGAAAGAAACCAATGCAAATGATACATTTAATCCAGAGGATTACTAGCTCTCCTCTTACATCTTAGCCCACTGCAGTCCGGCTTTTAGCCTCACTGGAACTGACTGGCGAACATCAACACTGACCTCCATGGTGTCAGCTACAGAAACACCTTTCCTGGCCTCTTTATAGCTCTGGCTGCTGGTGTTCACTTCTCTTTCAACTCCTTTCTCTCTTGAATTCAGGAAGAGCTCCATCATGCCAGCCGTTCCTCTGGGTCAGCTGTCACTCCTCTTCCAGAGCCTTCCGGCTTTTCCTCGCACCAGCCTCAGGTCCTCAAGCGTCTCCAGAGCCTCTGGTCTTCTCATTCTTTAGACTTCCCTAGAAGAGCTTATCAAAACCCCTGAAGCAAAACACCTTCACTACCTCTGCTGCACTTACAGCTAAAATCTCTACCTCCAGTCCAAGGTGCTTTACTGAAATACGGGCTTCAGCACAACCCCGGAGATGTCCGAAGGGCAAGCTGAGAAAACAGAGCAAACGTTAAGAAACAAGCTGTCTGTGAGCCAATTTAAAAAGTCGAGCATCAGCATAATAAAGGAATTTCAGGAAGAAGAAACAGGAAACATCCAGTGTGCAACAGCCTCTGGGATAACGCTACTCCGATTTCTCATGAGCTCCCCCTGATGCAACTTTTCAGAACTCAAATTCACCCTTGTTTTTACACAAATCTTCTTCCTTTCTAACGAAAGATACCCTCACCTACTCAGGAAGGCAGCCAGAAAAACGGGAGAGTTGCCGTGAGGTTCTCTCACTGAGTCATGACGGCCACCTGAGCACTAAGACGGACTGACTCTAGCTTCTTAGTATCAGGGCCGGAAGTCCTCCAACTTCAGTGAGCGCCAGAACCACCTGTGCAGCCAATTACATACCGAATGCAGGCAGTCAGCCCCATCCTACCCCTATCTGGAGTGGGACTGAGAAACCTTATTTCTGTCATGTACCCAGGTGACCCCGATGCTGCTCATATGGGGACCACTGACCTATGTATCTGCTCCATAATCCCCAGTCCCACTGCAATGACCTTGGTCCAGACTATCAGCTGCCATGTCTTGCTGACAATACAACTGTTTGCCTTTTAATTTACCCAATCTTCTTAAAACACCCTCCCGACCACATCTGGAATGATCTTCCTAAGAAAGATGCAGTGTCTCAAGATGCTGGAGTCTGCGTGGCTCAGCTCAGAGCCTGATGTGGTGTGTGCTTTGGGTGACATCACCCGTCCACCGCCACTAGCATCCTAGAACCGAATGGCAAAAATTCTCGATACCGCACCCATGCATGTCTGCAATGTGTTTTCCTTAAGAACTGGTAACTTCATTACAATTTCCGCCCAGCACCCGCAAGCACAGGGAGGCAAGTGCCAACTTTCCATCTCTCCCCTACCCGCCCTGTCTCCTCCACAGTAGTTGACCACGCCAGTTTCCTTTACAGCTGTTTCTGATCTTCAGGAAACACAAGAAGTCTAAGTCTAGCTATTGTCACTTCGTACTTTTTTATGCATGATGCCACATCCCTGTTTAAAGCGTGAGTCCCACAGGGACAAAGGCACACACTATGTCTTATACACGCGTGACTACTCATGGCATGAAAATCTTGCCAGGCGTGGTGGCGCACGCCTGTAATCCCAGCACTCAACAGGCTCAGGCAGGAGGATCACTGCAAGTTCAAGGCCAGCCTGGGCTACAAAGTGAGCTCAAGTCCAGCCTGAACTGCATCGCGAGATCCTGTCTCAAAAGACAAAAAAAAAAAAAAAATCTCACACTCTGTGATAAGCTGCTGAAAAGAGAACATGGGAAGAGGAGAAAGGAGAAAGTTCAGACACGACAGTGCTGGAGCGAGATGTCACAGTGGCATGCCAGTGCTGCAATGCCTGTTTAATTGAAACCTTGTAATAAAAGTTTAAATACATAAAATGTTTTTATCAAAAGAACATCCCCCACTTCCCTGACCTGATACATATGGAGGACAGGCAAGTGGTAACTGGCTATCTGTAGGGAACGGAGAAATGGCAGGTCCAACTCTGGTTGGGTTCTTCTTCCTTGGAAAATGTTCTGTGTCTCAGTCTCAGGTGAGCAGGAGCCCTGCCCACGCTGGCTTCATCAGCACTTGGGAGACCATGGCAAGCCACTCTGCACCATGAAGGACACTCGTGTGGCCTCAGAAGACCAGGAAGAGCAGGGCCTCGTGCCTGGGCAGCACGATGTTTTCCACCGTGCGTTCCATGGAGTGCACCTGCTCCGGGGACGCAGTCAAGAAGGCCAGGGGCCCGATGCGCTGCTCCGCACAGGAGTGGCACAGGTAGCCACCCTTGTTCTCCTTCCTGTTGCTCTGCAGTGGTAGACAAGGACAAGTGGTAAGGAAGGGATCTAAAACGGGATTTTCTACCCCAAAGTGCTGAACTCTGTCATAGCTGCCCAGTGACAACGCATTATGATTCTGACACTCTCAACTCTACAAACCCGCAGAGGGAACACTTCCCACAGCACTACTGTGCAGTGTAGAATCAACTCTCCCAAGTCCTCTAGCTAAAATTTATCGAAGTCAAGAAATAAAGAGCTATGCACTGCAGGTGTAGCGCAGTGGCAGAGTATGCGTTTGGCACGTGTGAGGCTCTGGGTTCAGTCCCCAGCACCACAGAAAAGAAACTGACCTCCAGGCAAGAAGCTCTCCTCTGCAACGTCCGGTCACTGCCCCATCGCCCCGACAGAAAGGCCAATTAGCTCGTCCGGACAGTAGCACCCACCCCGAGCCTTGATTATACTGTCTGACACAAGGGCGGACCTCACAGTTATTACGCTTTACATACAAAAAGCCATTTTAAAAAGGATGACAAAAATATCTCGTATATATTTACCCAAAACCCAGATAAGCACACAGTTCACAAGCAATGGGAGGTATGTAATTAAAGTCCACGGGCAGCAACATACGTAAGTGATCGGCAGCTTCTTCATGGTGAGGACAGTGTCCACAGGGATGGCGTTGTTGCACTGCCCCACACAGCAGCGAACCACTCCTGTTTTTAAAACGCTGCTTGTCAGCTCAACTTGCAAGAAGTACTCCTGAGAAAGAAACGAAGTGAATCACTACACCTCTGCTACCTTATTCTTGGAAACTCCAAGAGCTACAGAGCTGTAAACACCCTTTACGCCAATGCAGAGGTGCTGGCTGTCCATGACGTTTCCTGCTTCCAAGGCTATCACAAGAAAGAACACTGAAGACGCCCAACTGGTTTCTGGTGTAACTGCTAGGCTTCGTTTGTTTGTTTTAATGTAACGGACAGACCTGCAAAACTACAATGGCATTTTAGGACTATTTCTGAATTTTATCTTCTATTAACCCATCCCCAGCTACATCATTAGAAAATTACTCGTGAATTCACTTTACATCCCGGGTAAGCTGGAACAGAGCGCCTTAGAACCTGCCCAGGCCAACCCAGTGTCTCTGCCTCCCCAGGCTGTGGCTGGCCAGGGAGCAGGGAGTCGGCCCCAAGTTTCTTTCATCTGTAAAATGCAGGTAACACGGTACTTTCTTCATACGGCTGCTGTGAGGAAGGCGTACAACAGGACCCACAGCGTGCTCGCACCCGGCACACATGCGGAGATGCTACGCCACCAGGTCCCTCTGTCGGAGGTGCTGCGGCCCCAGGGAACAGCACACTACAGGCTAACAACTGCAAGTATCTGCTAACTGGTAAATGATGAGTTCCTATTTTCTGGACTAAAACTGCCGATTATCAAATTTTTTCACCATCTATGTCTCACATTTTACTTGATTTTTCTCTCTTGTGGAACGTATCAGCTACACAAAGTAGAAAATATATAAATAAACATTTAAAGTTCCAAATGACAAGGACCAACACAGTACAGTATGAAGTCACTTTGAAAATAAAACTGCAGATTTGCTTGATGTTCCTCTACACTTCCTTCTCCAGAGGCACTAAGCATCTTGAATTTGGTCTTTTCTGACCTGTTCCAAAACAGCCCTACCCTTGTCTACATATCCCAGAATATAAGATATCCCTTCAGAGTTATTTTTTTACGTGAATGTTACACTTCGGGTTTCTTTCTCATCTAGGGCATTTCTCTCAAGTGCTACAGAGGATTCAATCATGACACTTCCACATTTATTTATCCATTCCCTTAGCATATTCAGGTTCTTTCCAAACATTCTAACAGTGTAGCAATGAATACGCTTGTACATGTTTCCTGGCCCACTGCACAAGACTTTCTAGGGCTGGCTTTCAAAGTTTGTGACCCACTTACCATTACAACTCCACCTAAGCACTACATAAGAAGCTGAAATCAAACTTCACAAAATACCATGTAAACTTACATGCAGTGTACCCCAACTTTAGATCTTATACCATTTCAATTCTTAAAAGCTTATCATAGCCCACTGAATTAATTTCATAAATCATCAAAGAATTGTAAGCTACACCTTGTAAAATACTCCTCCAGTGCAACCATGCAGTCTCAGGACCTTTATCCTACTAAACATTAAGGGACCCAAGGAGATTTTTGTGTATAGGATTTATTAAAGTTTACCATGTTAGAAATCTAATCTAGGAGATCTTACAAATATTAATTCACTTTAAAAATAGGAATAACAAGCCCATTACAATGACAACTATATATTTTTAAAACAGAAGAATAGCATTGTTGGACAACTTTTTTTACTTTTTAAATTTTTTTTTATTTATTTATTTTGGTTTTTTTGGAAAAAGGGTCTCACTCAGGCTGACCCTGAACTCACTAGATAACCCAGGCTGGCCTTGAACTCACAGTGATCCTCCTGCCTCAGCCTCCTGAGTGCTGGGATTTGAGGTCTACACTTCCACACCCGGCCACAATGGGGCCGTTTGTATAGATAAAGAACCAGTGTTAGCTGTACAGCAGAGGGGTCATCTATCCCATATAAAATAACTGTTATTTCTCTAAATGTTATTGTTTCTGTATTTGTGTTCTCTACCTTCTCGGCTGACATAGATATTGTCATCAAAGGTCACACTTTGAAGGCAACTGGCCTTGGCCTCAGCACTCAGTCTGTGGTGACACGACATGTGAGGCAGCCCTTGGCATGTCCACTACAGTTACGACAGCGTTACCATGACACGCACAAGTAACAACCCTGGACCATTAGCCAGGGCTATAAATACAGTATGGATTTCATGTATAAAGTGCTCAACAGTATTACTTGTATAATGTGCATTATGAACACAGTATTACACATATAACATAGGCTAGGAACACAGTAAGTACTGCGTATATGCTGTGTATTCTGCAAATAGTACACATCTCACACAAAACACGAGCAGTGAAAAGTATGTGTTACATAGTATATGGTGTGATCGAAAAATACAATGAACGTTTAAGTATTTTTTAAAAGTTTATTACAGTAAAAGACACATTAGGAAGTCTTCCATCAGCATCTCTGGTTGGCTGCCTTGACAACTTGAATCGATGCAGAACATTCACCTTTCATGGGCATTTTGACTTTGGGGAAGAGCCAGAAGTCACACGGCGCCAGATTCAGTGAATACACTGGGTAATGAGCATTCACTGTATTTTTATTACACCTCATAAAGACACTCACAAAGGAGGACTTCCAGAACTGCTTCAGAAAGGGGCAAGAAAGATGGGATAAGTATGTCTGAAGCGAAGGGGAGTGTTTTTTTGTTTTTTTTTTTTTTTGTGTGTGTGTGTGTGTCTCTTAAGTGACTGTGATTTTATTTTATTTTATTTTTATTTTAAAGAATAAAAGAAGGATAACAT